TGTCTTTTGTCTTTTTTCCGGGTCCGGCAGCGGATCGCAACCCCCAGTGTTGCCCCCGTACCGGACCGGGGATCGGCAACGGGATCGCAAGCCTCGGTGTTGCTCCCGCGCCTCGCTCAGCCAGTGAGCGGGAGCCGGTCGGTATGTGGGATCCGAACCCTCGGACCGGAGCGCTGCCGCGCTTCCCAAGCGGCGCACCATCCAGTGCGCCACCGGGCCGGCCTGTCGAGACTTTCTAATACACACCCTTTGTACTCACTGTACTGGAGTGGAAAACAACAAAATAAAAACTTTACTTTTTCACAGCATTTTAAAACTGTTTCTTAAGATCTCAACTTGGTTCCGGAAAAGCAGGGAAGTAAATTTTTCTTTTTTCTTTCCATCCTAAGTATGTTCTACTTTTCATCACTCCACAGAAACAGCCCCACTTTATGGGAAATTAGGTTGTTAAATATGTATGTCTTATTGCTTCTTTATTTTCTTTCCTCATTCTTGTCTCCACTGTTTTCCTTATACTCTACCCTTACCAATGCATAATACCCCATCTTCTTTCTGACATCCCACTGAGTTCTGAGCTCAGCTGATTTACAGTCTAGCTCTTGCTGACACTTATATGCTGTGGTCCTCTTTAAAATTTACCTAACTCTCTGTGCAGCAATTTGTTCATTTGTAAAATGAGTTACGTCTAGATCATCTTCAAGAAACTTTTCACCTGTTTTTTTTTTTTTATTTCAATGTGTCCAAACAGTTTAAAAATTTGGAAGCAACATTAAATCCTGAAATGGTAAGAATCAGTGCCATGTTTTCTTTAAATGCAAATAAATGCTGTTGTCCAGACATTGGCTTTCTCATGACCAACACACCTTTGCCTGGTCACTCATTACCTGTCTGAGTTTCCTCCTCCACAATCATCCTTAAGAAATGTGATTACAGATAAGATACTAATTTTAAATACTGGAAAGCAAAACAATTGTTAAATGTCATATGTGAAACTACATAAATTGAGACAGAAATGGCTTTCAGATTACCAGTATCATTCCCTATTCCATCAGCATGGATGCTGGGATTTGACATGACTCTATCCTTGATCCAAAACATCATGTGCAATCAAAAAACTTATCCTCTAGCAAAATACGCTCCATTAGCAGTTATTTACGGATCTGTCATACTCATGCTTATAATCTATGTTATAGGTCTTTGTTAGCATTTTCAGATTTTAATTACATAATTTCCTTTAAAACAATTTTCCTTAACTGTAGGTACATTCCATTCTAACACACCAGTCCATCTTCACTCTCTCACAGAATATTGCAAAATTTTAAAAGAAACTGACACCTTAGTATCCCTTTAAGAACAGGAGTACTGGAGTGAATTTTATGAAAGTTTACTGGCCCCTTGATTAAAAATGTGTCTTAACAATTTATTCAGTCTCTTTGAATAAAACTTTGTGAAATAAAAATAGTTTATTTTTCTATTTCTTTCCCCAGAAAAAGTGATTTTTTTTAATGCAAATCTATTGGGCTCCTATATAACCAAAGACGTTTATTGTCTATGCCAATATTGTCCCTGATATTTCACAAGTAGATTGGTCTATTGTGAGTAGACAGAAACAGGAAAGCACTGGAGGATAGGCCAATAGCTTTCTTCTGCAATTCTAACACTCTATAGTGGTTATTATTTCATAGTACCATCTCATAGAGGAAAAACTAGAGAAAATATCTGGTTAAAAGCATCTAGCCCATCTGTGACGATGATCTTTGAACTGTATTCTAGTATGTTTAAAAGAACATCACTGTCACATTTGATTATCACTGGACCACAGCTTGCTGGGAGAAGTTGTTTGCCACAGTCTCTTAGCCTACTTTAACTTTCCAGGTTCCGTCCGCAATTTCAATCATTTAACAATTACTGTAGAAGCACTGTCTTTGAATATACAAAGCAATTTTGATTACATTATGTGCTGCCAGATGACTAAAATGAAAAGCTTTCTCAAGCAGTCTCGTCTTTCGTCAGTTCTTGCGGACCCTGGGTTGTCAGTAGGAAACATAACAGTCCGAGCTATCTTTTGGAGCTTAAATGTAGCTGCTCTCTAGGAGGCAGCCCCGCTGGCTGCACCAGGCTGGCTCTGCGGCCCGGGCTGCCTTGGGGTTGCTATTCCTGTGGGGCGTGTTCCCAGCTGATGGAGGGATTCCCCTCTTACCTCTTAGTTGTGTCTGGTCAGCCACATCACACTGGATGAAGAGAGTCTTGTGAGGTTCAAACTGCTCATCCAGGGCGGCTTTACACTTTACACCTGCTTCCAGATTCCAATCCACAAGCGCTACCTATAGAGAAGGGAAGGGTCGAGGTCGTGCGCAATTCGGGACACACACGGACAATAAATAAACAGGACGCTCCCCTCTCGGACCTGACATGCTGCAGTTCAAGTTGGGGTTCTCTCCCAGCCGCTTTAGAGGTCTGCTCAAGAGCCTCAGTCTCAGCAGCTTTTGGAAGTGGCAAGGTGGACCCTCCGGGCACTGCTCCCTGTCCCCCCCGGGAGCCCCTCGGGCGGTCTCAGGGGGCGAGTCTCAGGGTGGGTGGGCAGGTCAGTTTCGATGACCGAGAGCCGCGCTTACCTTGGCGCCCTTGTGCAGCAGCGCCTCTGCAAAGGCTCTGCCTATGCCCTGCGCCGCGCCGGTCACCAGCGCCACTTTGCCGTTCACGTGCATGGCGCGGCCGCTGCTCCGGCGGGCGGTGGGCGAGCTGGCGTTCCCGCGCGGCCGCAGCTTTTATGGCCCCGGCGGGGCGCTCTCTGCCCGTGGGCGGGGAGGAGACTGAAGCCAGCGCCGGGGAACCCGGGACTGGGTCACCTGCCCCGAGCGCTTCGGGTCGCCAAGCTTCGCGATCTTTGCCTTCCGGACTCGCAGCCAAAGCCGCGTCAGAGCCTCCCCTCAGCCTCTGTGGCGTGACTGGCGCGGAGCCGACAGGGGAGAAGCAGAAAGAGTTTCCCAAAGAGCTGCCTTCGGGACCCTAAAGACCAGCGCGACAGCAGCGCGCAGAGCAGACGCCGGGGAGCTCGGGTTCCTCCTCCCCCACCCAACAAAAACAAGCACGCACAAAAGCAAAGGATTAGGGATTTAGCTCTCTTCTCTCAGAGATTTCGTGTGAGTTCCCTTCTCATGACCATGGGGGTGGGGGTGGGGGGAGCGGAGGTAACTCACATCACTGTTTTTTACTTAGTTGCGTTTTAGACGAAGTTGTACAGATATTGGAGATGAGAAGTGAACTGTGCTCTGACCTCAACACCCTGAATCGCATCATGTGCAGGCTGGGACTTTAAGAATCTTGTTGACACTCGTGTTTCAGATCAGTGTCAATTGCGTGTCATCTTGCGAGTGCCCCTCAAGAGCTGTCATCATCTACTTGCCCAGGACTTCCAGAGTCGCCGATTGCCTGACGAATTGCTGGTTCAATGGAATGCTTCCTCCTTGAATCATAGAGGCTTTGCAGGCTCAGAGTGAAGCGTGGGACGAGGTTCCCTGCCCTCCAGGAACTCGAGGGCTCGCTGTGTGCTGAGATGCAGTCAGTGAGGGCTGCACTCACCTAGTCCCTTTTTCTCATGCTATCAGTGAAAGGCTTCTATTTTAATTCTGTAAGCTTAATTAGTTGGCATTTTTTTTTCTTTTGCAAAGAAATCTAAGCACTTGGAGGGAGATGGGGGTTGGGCAAAAGACTTAGACTTAACAGCAGAAAGAATCTTTTGTATATTCTTTGCTTGCTTGCAGGAGACGGTGACTGGTGCAGCGGGGGAGGGGTGTTTGGAGAGGCTGTGTAAGATATATGTTGGCCACTGAGACAAAAGTCTTCAAAGTTGATTTGAAATTGGGTCTTGAAAAAATGTTGAGAAATTAAGACAGGAAGATAGATATTTATATTCCATGATTAAAATAAAATTAAATAATTTAAATTGTAATGTGAAGAGTAAGTTGAGGGGATCGTATTGTAAGAGAACAATGGAGAACAACAACAAAAAAAGGAAACAAAACCCCGGGACCTCTAATGGTATGCACGGAACATAAAAGAAGAAAAGAAACAGTTCCTTCAACAGGAAGGAACTGGCAAAAGAGACAGAAAAGGAGCCGCTTGAGTGACACGGGAACATTGGAGAACAGAGTGTTGCAGCACTTATGGGGTAGTTTCCAGAAGAGAGGAGTGGTTAATAATGCAGAGTACTCTGATGAGCACAAGGGAAGAAAGGATGGAGAAATGTTTTTAATTTGTCAGGACATGGAAGGCACAGAAGGCCTTAGAAGGCATAGAACCCAAATGGCTGAAATTGAAGGAGAAAATGGCTGGTGAGAAGACAGATATTGCCATGAATTCTAGACCAACATTACATGGGAAGGAATAGACAGCATAGTAGTTGGAAAGATTAGAGGATGGCAGATAAGTTTAATTTTATTTTTTTTATTTTAAGAAAGTATAGGGGGATGATTTAGATTAAAAAGCAAAGAGTCAAGGAGAGTGAGAACTGGAACAGGACGCAGTTTGGAGGTGGCTAAATGAGGCATAAGAGCATCAGCATTGTATTCAGATGAAACGAGTTTAGATCTTGTTTCTGCTACTGACCAGCTGTGTGGCCTTGGGCAAGTTGCTTCAACTCTCTGTGCCTCTGATTCCTTATTTCTTGTAAAAATGCGGTGAAAATTAAATTAGGTAAAGCATATAGAGCACAATTATATATAGAGCGTGGAGTAATAGCACAATAAATATTAGTTCAAATTTATTACTTCTGGAATGTTAGTAAATAACACACAGGAGATAGAGAAAAATGTGAGGAAGAGATTTTTTCAGTGTGCAGGAAGGACTAGGATCAAGGGGACAGGTAGTACTTCTTCATCCCGTTCTTCCTGTTGATTTTCACTGCCACTGCCTTTGTTCAGACCCTTATCTTTTCTCCTGTGATAGCAACAGCAGTTAACCTCCTGAATTATTTACATCCAAATTTCTTAAATCCAGTTCAGCTTCTACACTGTTCCCAGGAAAAGTTCTAAAACATAAATCTGATCATGTATAGACATTCTCATGTTTAAAATCCTTAAAATATCTAAATTCCAGGGCAATGCAGATAAGCGTCGCATGCCCCACATCTTTCTTGTAGCCCCTCTTTACATGCTAGGAAGGCATGTGTCAGTTACAACATACCCAACTCTGCAGACCTTCAGGCCTTTGCCATACAGCACCTGCTCATCCTTCCCTTCCCACTTTCTTCACCTGTTTTCTTACTCAACTATCAAATCTGTACCATGAAAATACCAATCACATTATCCTAATTAGCTAACTATCTAAGAGTGTCTTCAAAGAGGGCCATCTTTTTTTCTGGATGTCTTCCAGCGTCCAGTGCAGGGCTACCCAAAGTGTGCACTCAATACGTGTTAAATGAAGAAAGATGCAGATAAATATGAGGTATGCATTCAAGAGAAGAAAGAAAATTTTAACTAGATGGGAGATTTCCCATATATTGTGATTATCTTTTTATACAACAGTAAGATTGGAAAAATACATTAATATGGTATTTTTGAAAAGGAATGTTCTGATATTTTACCATATTTTATGTTAAAAGTACATTTGACTTAAAAATATTTACAGGACATTATATATGGCATATTCTAAAACCAAATAAGCACTCTTTACCCAGTAAACATATCCCACTCGTCTATGATTTTTGATATGCATTTCTCAGCTTTTATGTTCATTGCATTATTTAATTTCATTTATGTCACCTATACATTTCTATTGTCGCAATGATTTTTGTTATTAAAAACATAATTCTTAGCTAAAACTAAGTTAAATCTAAGACAAACCATTATTCGTATAATTTTGTGAAAACATTCTTATTTATAGGTTATAATTTATAGGTTATATTTGATTTGATTTTTTGAATAAAGTTCCCTTAAAATAAAAACAAATGCAATGATGCAAAATTAAAAGGAATAATTTTTCCCCTTATGCAATCACAAGTAATGGGTATTGAACATTTACTCAGAGACAAACATTCTGTAACAGCTACAAGCACAGCCTCTGAAATCAGACTTCCTGGGTCTGAATCCAGCTCCACCTCCTACTAGCTGTGTGACCTCGGGCAAGTTACTTCTCTGAATCTAAAATTCCTCATTAGTAAAATGAGGATAATAATAAAAATAACTTATTTCATAAAGTAGTTTCGAAGACTGTACTGAGTTAAATAAATGCAGGTCAAGTGCTTATATCAGTGAGTGGCACATAGCAGATATTGTATAAATGCTATTATCATTAGGCACTATACATCTATAATTGTGTTTATTATTTACAACCAAACTGTGAGGTAGTTGTTATTGTGGTCATTTTACAGACAAGGAAAACAGGTTTGGGGAGTTTGAGGAACTTGGTCAAGGTCACTTATCTAGAAAATTGAAGGCGTAAGCTTTGACTCAAGGTGTGGCTGACTCCTGAGAAGTACTTCTTTTTTAAAAATTAAACTTTTTTTTTTGAGATAATTGTAGCTAGCAGTACTTTTAGCCGTGTTGGAATAGTGATTTCTTTAATAAAAATAAGTCCAAAATAGATTTAAATTCAAATCAGAATTCTTTTATCAAATATATATTTTCATGTACACTAGTGTCTGTTGGCTCAGTTCTGACCACTTAAGACAGCCAGTCTTAACCAGATTTCTCTCTCAGCCCATGCCCGCTGGTGAGCACATCCCAAGATGCTCCTGCTGACAGGCCCAGGCTCAGAGAGAGGCGGATCACTCACCTCATAGATATGATTTATATATTTTTTCAATGATCACATATAAATCAATACAAAAACAGACTTTTTTCATTGTTGAAACCAAAAAGTATTGCTGAAATAGGCAGTTTTCTGCTCGTATGGGGGTTTTGGGTTCTTGTTTTGGCATTGCTAGCACAAGCTGCAATAGAGGAGCTATTTTTGAAGATCTACTATGTTCTTGTTCTTTTGGATGTTGTCTCATTTAATCCCTGTACCAAACCTGCAAGGTAAGTATTATTATCCTCACATTACAGATGAAGAAACTGAGGCTCATGGGAGACAAGTGACTTATCCCAAAGTTGCACCCCGAAATTTAGCAACAAACCTGGGTTCAAATCCAAGTCATGTTGCTCCAAAGCCTTTTTTCTTTCTACTATACTCAATTCTCTTAAACAGATCTATATTCAAATGCAGTATCTTTTCCTTTGCTAAATATATGATCTTGGGGTAGTTACTCAACCTCTCTGATCCTGTTTCCTGAGCTGTTTGTTGGAGGAAAAAATTGACATTCCTTGAAACACCCAGTATAGTGCCTCGCATGTGTTAGGTGATCAATGAGTTATTATTATGTTTCTTCCTTAATGTTCGTACTTATTTCTGGATTTAGAGATAAACACTTAGTTGAAAATGGAGAAAGAATGATGATAAGCGTATATTTTCAACTCTAGAATACAGGTGAGATATTTCTAAATTTTTATAGGGTATAAGTTTTCTGGGGCTGCCATAACAAAATACCACAGACCTGGTGGTTTAAACAACAGAAATATAGTTTTCACAATTCTAGAGACTAAAAGTCCAAGATCAAGGTGTTGGCAGACTTGGTTTCTTCAGGTCTGTCCCCTTGGCTTGCAGCCTTCTTTCTGTGTCCCCACGTGTCCTTGGCCATCTTCTTGCTCTGTCTTTACATAGTGTTTCCACTGTGCACTTGAGTCCCTGGTGTCTCCAAATTTCCTCATCTTATAAGGACACCAGCCAGATTGGATCG